ATATATCAGTATTTATGGGAGGTGCCACTGATCACAAGGCCAATTTTCAGGATTTATGTTGCTTCTTGAGTTCATGTCTATCGAAGATGACATCAGAATTTGTTTGCTTGGGGTGCAAGTGTTGATGGCTACTCTGTATGTCAGGTCTCACATTACTTACCCATCTTGCATTCACAATTGGATAACTTGATTATAAAACCTTAGGGCAGATTTTTCCCATATTTGTAAAATATAAGTATCATGATCAAATGAAAAGTCTAAGATTGTAGGAATTATTAAACCAGTTCCAATAACAAAAGAGCATTTGTTGAGGGGGTGAAGGGAGGGCAGGGGTAAGGAAAAAAAATGAGAACCAAGACCTGTCATGTAAAGGTACAGGATCCCAGTGATGAATGTAACTGTACTGTATACCTAAAATGGACCAATAAACTCAATGAGGAAAAAAAAAAGTCCAGTGGTGGGGGGGAGGAGAAAAAAACCAGTGTGAAGCTTGATGAGCAGGAAGTAAACTTGAAAAGATGAGTTCTACCAACATACCAGGCTTAGAGACTTTCACTGCAAATGACTGAGGCAGAAGGAGAGCAGGCAGAGGCAGCCAGAGATGTGGTGTCTGTGGTGCAAACTTTAATGTAAACAGTAACAAGTGAGCAACAGTACAGCCAGACTGCTCAGAGAATTCAATTCTATCTCCCAAGCAACTTAATAAAGAAGTTTCTCATGGCCAGGCTCGGCGGTGAACGCTTGTAATGCCAGCTACTAGGGAGGCTGAGGCAGGTGCATCACAAGTTCAAGGCTGGTCTGGACGATTTAGCAAGCCCCTGTCTCAAAATAAAAAGGCTGGGGATATAGCTCAGTGGTAGAGTACCCCTGGGTTTAATTCCCCCATACCCCCTGAACACACAAAGTTAATTGTGCACACAGGCACACACAAATTGTCTTCAATAGCACTGGTACAAAGGCAAATATGGTGTATACTTGTAATCCAGCATTTGGGAGGCTGAGGTAGGAGGATCACAAGGTCAAGACCAGCCGGGCAATTTAGGGACTTGAGACCCTCAGGGGAAAACAAAATAATATGGTTTAGGGATGTAGCTCAGTGTGAAGCCCTGAGCTCAATCTCCAGTAAAACACACACACACAGACACACAAGTACTGGTTGAAAAATGATGATCTACATTTCTACTTGAGCACTAAATCTTGGCACTAGGTTTAGATTATATTTTTGGAAAAAAGTGATTTTAAACAGCATTAGAATGTCTACTCAATTTTTTTTTTTTAAAGATCTCTGTGAAAGTGAGATGTAAGAGCTGGCCTAACAGAAACATGTAAAAAGTATGATTTATAAAGGCCAAGTAGTAAGTAACAGAATCTGTTCTTGGAATGAATTTTTTTTTTTTTTTTTTTTTTTTTTTGGTACAGGGGATTCAACTCAGGCCACCGTACCACTGAGCTAAATCCCCAGCCTGGAAGCAACACTTTCATGGGTCTTTCCTGCTCCGTTCCTACACTCCCTCCACCTGCATCGCTGTGTTGCAGCACCATTCTGAGAGGGTTCTGTGGTAAGGAAGATGACCTGGCGTACAAAAGAGATTTCATTAGATGTTTTTAAGCTGCACAATTTGAAGCAGTAGTGTCACCAAGAGATGGGACACACAGTGTGGGTTAAGCCCCCAATCTCCACTGGGGACCCCACTTATGCTACCCTAACATTCTTCATTCATTTGATCACGCACACACTCCCCTCTCTGTAATGCCTCTGAATTCAGGACATTTTTACAAATGATTACATGTCATATATTATTGACAGGGTTTTTTTCTTAGTGACACCTAAAATAACAGCACCCTAGATCCCATGAGCTACAGAGTTAGTAACAATTCCCCAATCCTTTTTCAAGCACAGGACATGTGCAGGACCCTGTGTTCATCCCAGTACCAAAAATAAAGAGGAGAGAAGGGAAGAAGAGAGGAAGAGAAAAGACAAGGGGAAAAGAGAAAATACAGGACTTCGGATGTTTATCACCTTCTAGGGAATGGTGAGTTCACTGTATGTCAAGAGTTCAGATGTGCCCTGGCACAAGTCTGTGATCAGCTACTCAGAAGGCTGAGGCAGAAGGATCAGAAGTTCTAGGCCAGCCTGGGCAACTTGGAGAGCCCCTGTCTCAAAATAAAAAGGGCTGGAGATGTGGCTCAGGAGGGTTCAGGGCGGTTCGGTGGTATTGGCAGAGGTTGGGGACAGAAGGCGCTTCCTTCCCTGGGTCCTCCTGAGGACCAGACAGGATCTGTGGCACCTCCGCACCACGGCCCGCCCCGCAGTCAGGAGGCAGTTAGGGAAGAAGGGGGCAGGGCCAGGGCAGTCGAAGGAGCATTCGAAGCCCGACGTCCCCATCTCGGGGAAGAGACCTCAGACGTAACAGAGCCGCGCCCCGGTCTGAAGCCATCCGGGCCTGGTCTGCGACAACGGCCTTGGGCAGGAGGGAGGGTCCCAGTGGTCTCTTACCCGTGGCTTGGGCAGGGTACTTGTCCAGGTGCAGTCACTCTTCTCTTCCTCTTGTTTTCCTTTACATTTCCCCTTCTCTTTGTCTTGCTCCTTCAACTTTTCCTCCTCATCTTTCCTCTTGCTGTTCTTCCCGTTCACCTGCCCTTTTTCTTTTTCTTGGATTGTCTCTCCTGCCCCTTTCTTTTTCTCTTCCTTTCGCGCTCCCCTAATTTCCCCCCTGGAGGAGGCCTCCTTCTTTGCTCTCCCCCTCTCCATCCCCTCCGCCCCGTGTCCTTCCTCCCCGCACTCAGCGCGCCTGCGCGCTGGAGCCACCGCAGCCCGGGTCCCCGCAGTGGTCGTGGTCCTGGCGCAGGCGGACGTAGGTGCTCAGCGTTGTTGCTGCTTGCGCGGCGGCCGCAGGCCTTCGGGATTCTCGCAGGAGCTCGCCCTGCTGACCCTCCTGACCCAGGGGTCTGGAAGAGGCATCCCAAGCTGGGGAGGCAAAGAGGGTGCTAGGGGGTGGACCGAGCCCGAGAGCTGTGAACGCTGTAGGAAAAGCGCCCCCAGGGACCACTTGCTTCCCGGGTGCACTATGGCGATTTCCTGGACAGCTGACCTTTCCAGCCTTGCCGCTGAGCCTGTCAGGCCCATTGGTGTCTCCAACCTGGAGAAAACCCAGCACCAGTGAGTCCTGAGCAACGCTAGAGGGTTCCTTGCTTGTCCCCAGCGCCCAACCACAACCCTTACAATGAAGCTGGGCAGATCCCAGCCATCTTCCCTGCTAAACACCACTCCTGCTCGGCAGGACTGTCAGGGTGAAAGGAAAAGGTGTCCATTGTCCTAAATTTCTGTTGCTCTCCCCTTAAAAACAAACAAAACACAAAACCTGAGAATGTGTACTCTGCTAGTACCCTGGCTACTACCTTGGTAATATCTAGTATCAAACCAAAACTAAGCCTAATATCTAGAGGCATGTAATGATCTAATTCTAATGGTTAGGTTCTAATGAGGTTTTTTTCAAAGTAGTGTAATACTTTTACAACACTAAGTATATGGATGGTTTTCTTAACCTTAAACTGGACTCGTGTATTTCACAATTTAGCAAAATTAGTTTTTAGAGCTAATGTGTAGACTAGTGTACAGTGCTTGCTTAGCATTGCAGGAGGCCTATCTCTAGCACCACAAAAATAAGTGACAAAATTAACTTTTTTTCCTGGTACAGGGGATTGAAACTTGTGCTTGCCACCAATGAGCTACATTCCCAAAATTAGCTTTTACATGGAATAAACAAACTGACTTTCCATCATAAGATGTTTCAGACAGGCTTGTAAGGAAGAAAGTTCCAGAAGGCTTGAGTGGTACAATGTAGTTTTAAGGTTAGCACTGCCCAAGTGTCTTGAAAATGCCATGCTTTATATCCTTAAAAAGTTTACTTCTGAGCTGGGGATTTAGTTTAGTGGTGTCACCACCTGCCTTGAAAGTGCAAAGTCCTAAGTTCCATCTCAGTACCAAAAAGTTTACTGCTGTTTACACACACGGTAATGCGATGAATTTTCAGTGGAGTTTAAATTGGGTTCATGAATACCATTTGATTGCTGTGAGAAGACAATTTTACATACTCATTGTAAAAGAAAATTGTTAGATATACTAATTAGGGAGTCCTCTATAAAGCCTCACACTCAAAACACCTTCATCCATGATCAGACAGAATATTTTAAAAGGTGCCACAGTGAAGGATGCATCCATACTAGATTTTATAAATGTCCACACACCCATGTATATATAACGTATGTTACTGTCATCCTGTCCAAAGGAGGAATTACTAGAAAGTTAATGTAGATGTTTACACTTTGACAATAGTTTATCTGAACTAGGTTTCAGTTGCTTTGCAACTAACCAACGCTGTCAATAACACTTAAAGAACTATAAATTTCATTTTTTTTGCCTTGTGTCAGAATTATCAAAGATGGTTAATTTTTACCAAGATTCTGTTTAACCTAAAAAATTATTACCCTTAACTATAGCTATTTAATGGAATTTTAAGAGATTTACTAATGATTATTTCTGTAACAGTATATATTCAGAAGGAATGTCACACCAAAATACCGTTCTCTGTAGAGCTCGAGTATTATGTCTAATAAATCACTTTTTTTTTTAGTTTATTGGTACATTTTAGGTATACAGTACAGTTACATTCATCACTGGGATCTTGTACCTTTACATGACAGATCTTGGTTCTCATTTTTCCCCCATAATAAATCACTTTAAGATCTTGTTTAGATGCCACTGCAGATTTGAACTATACTACACTGAAAGAGAGCACCCCATTTCTTATAGAGGAAGCTATTAAAATAAACACTCTCTGAAGATGTTTCAGTAGATATGTTCAAACACAGCAGCACTTTATTAATTAACAAGGACAGAGTAATATGGTCACAAGGAAATACTCAAAAGTATAAAATAAATGATATCTTGGGCAGCATAAAATGAATACCAACAAAGGTAGGCATCCTAACATGTCTCACAGCTGTTGAATGAAAGTGGCTTGTAGGTAAGGAAAGAGGAGCAACATTTACATCACAAACTGTAAAGTAACTTCACTTCTCTGGGAAAGAAAATGAACAGTCATAACCCATAACTAGAAAGAAGAGCCATTTGAGTGTATTAATCGGGTCACCAGTTCTGTTAGATTCTAATACTGTGTGGTACTGATTTCCTCTCCATGTGATGAAGTCAATTTCCTTATTCTTTTTTTTTTTAAACTTTCATATTCTTGATAGGAACATTAACCTTTCTGATTGATAATCCAAACCCTCTGACCTCTGACACGGGGTCTAAGAGTGAACTACTTGCAACACTGATGTATTTTCTTGAAGTCTTCAGTGGTGCTAAATCAGCATGTTAACATAATCTGAAAATGAAAATGATAAAGGGCACAAAGGTGCCATGTAAATGAAAAGTATTTCATATTCTAGTGTCACATGACAGATAATTTGTGGTTAAAATTATTTAAGACATTTACTGTATGTAGTCTGTTTGTGGCCACTCATTTAGCTAAGCGAAGACCACCAGTGTCTTACTAAGGTCCCTTTTTACCACATATTTCTAAGCAAATATTTGGAATGCTCAGAAGATTCCACTTTTAGTCTCCAAGAGCCTCCTGAGACATAATTTAAAGTGGGACTTGATAGGAACAAGTGCCTTCAATCTTCAGATTCTAGCTGAGACGGAAGAAACAGTTTCTGTTTAAATCCTGGGAAACCTCAGGTAATGTGTCTTATTTGTGAAATGGAAAAAAGATCAAATCAACAAACAAAGATAAAGGATGCAATAGGTATCAAGGTGGGTAAATGCCTGATCATCTCCAGTCCTCATAATGTGTGCAAAACTATGTGGGACAAGTAGGCCAAATCTAACTGGACAGTCAGAGGAAGATGTTTTCTTATTTGATGCACAAGAAATTATTTTAAGGAAACGGGATGGAAGAGGGAGCAGTTCTATGCTTTTCATTGCGTTACCTTTATTATGCTCCCAGGGTCACTGAGACTAGCTTAAAAACAGCCCAGCATGAGAACATTCTAATCACCAGCCACCTTTTCCTCCTTTCTTCTTTTTCTGTTGCTGTTTCTTCTTTGTTGCTGGAGCTCCTGCAGGTTTCTGGTGTCTGGGGGGTATGATGTTACTTGTAGAGGCAGATACGGTTGCTGCACTGCCAGGTCTTGGGGAGGTGGGAGGACTGCTAACAGTTTTACTGGCATCCCTGAAATCATCACACCAGAAAAATTAGGGTCATTCATAAACTGAACAAATGAAAAGGGTATAAAGCAGTACGCACATGGATTTTACTTTCTATACCTAATAATCTCTTACACATTTTCCTTTTAAAGTGGGCTCCTCAGCTCCTATGCATTTTTGAGACAGGGTCTCACTATGTAGTTGAGATTGACCTGGAACTCACTATGTAGCCCAGGCTGGTCTCGAACTCACAGTGATCCTCCTGCCTCAGCCTCCCAGTGCTGGGATTACAGGTGTGTGCCACCATGCCCAGCTCAATTTTTAGGGGTTTACAACTAAAGAATAAGTAACACATGGTATAGGCCAATTTTTAGAAAGCTTAGAAAGTAAAAAACTTACTCATCTCTAATTTTGTTATGTAGAAATAAATTTTTAATGCTTCTTTCTAGTTATTTAATGTTATTGGTTTATGTACAGTTAGGTGAATGACTCTGTGTACTGCTTCCTTTTCCAACTACATGTCTCATATTTACAATATATTCACAAATTCTGACCAACAGTCTCAGTCAATCTCAGAAATAACCTGGGTCCCAAGTGACCTCTTTGTGGAGCCATGACTTACAGTTCAGATGAAGCTCCTGCAGTTGCTCCCTGAGTGCCCTTTCCAATCTGATCCTTCTTTTTACCCTTCTTTCTTCCTCGGTAGTAAGAACGTTCTCGCATTGGCAGCCATCTTTCTGGATCTGGGGTAACTTTTGGGTCATAATTCTTAGGCAGTTTTCCTATGTAAACAATTGATATAGAAATGAGAGCTGTGCCTATAATAGTTTCAAGACAGTTTGTTTCAATAATGTGTCCATGCATGGGAATAATATTGTAATTAAAATTGAGAAAATTTTACATGTATAATCTACCAAGTGACCTCCAACCCCCATACTGGGAATTGAACCCAGGGCATTTACACTGAGCCACATTACCACCCCTTTTTTAAATTTTGCGACAAGGCTTTTGCTTAAGCTGTTAAATTGCCCAGCCTTGGCTTCAGGCCTATGTCACTAAGTCCAGTTGAAAAGACCTAAGCATGGTACAAAATTCAGAGGTTAGGGCTGGGGAAATGGCTTAGTGGTGCCATGCCTTTCTTGCAAGTGCAAGTGGTCCTGAGTTCAATCCCCAGTACCAGGGAAAAAAAAGAAAGGAAAAAAAAATTCAGAGGCTATACAAAGATTTATTTTGGGGCGGGTGTGGTGGTGTATGCCTGTAATCCCAGCACTCGGGAGGCTGAGGCAGGAGGATTGCTGTGAGTTCGAGACCAGCCTGGGCTACACAGTGAGTTCCAGGTCAGTCTCAACTACATAGTGAGACCCTGTCTCAAACCACCCCCCCAAAAAAAGATTTATTCTGTATAAAAAGTCATCTCAAATACATATATATTATATAATTTTATTTTATTTGATAAAAGACAATGCATTTTTAATAAAACAGCAAAAATGTACTTTCTATATTAATATCCTAAAATAGAAAAAATTCTTGCTACTCAAGGAAAAATGGGTATAGTTAAAATTAGGACAAGCCAAGAGAAATAAAAGCTGTTAAATGTGTGAAGAGATGATCAACTAATCAAAAATAAGGTAAGAAAATTGATTAGCAAATGTTAAGAGCAGTAATATTGTACATAAAATGGTGAGAAACAAACTACTGGCAGAAGCATATTATGTACTGGCATAGCCTTTGTGAAAAGTAACTTAATTATCCAACACCAGTAAAAATGTATAGCCTTCTAAAAATTCATGCTGTTGAAGCCTATAAACCACAAGGTTACACAAGAATATTCTCTGACATTCTTTTTTTTTTTGTACTGGAGATCCAACTCGGGACCTTGTGCTTGCAGTGGTGGAACCACTGAGCTAAATCCCCAGCCCTGACAGTCTTTAAGATAGCAAAATAACTATATAAGAAAGAGTGATTAAATAAATTATACCTAGACTATAGTAAACTGTACAAGTGAATTAAAAATCAAGGTGTACCTATGTTTAATAAATTGGAAAACTGTTCTTTATAATTCAGTCTAAGGTAGAGGAAACAATTATATTATGTTCATATTGATTTTGTAAAACTTTTATTGACTGTGTATAATTGTATGTATACAAAAAAAGTCAAGTATGCATCTCTGGGAGCATGCATTTGTGGTAGGGAATTTTCCAATCTTTATTCTATAATCTATTATAGGTTACTATTCTATAATTCTAATTGTTATATTCTATTATATATTACTATATTTCTAATTATTATAATTATTCTATAATTCTATTATCTATAATCCTTGTTTTTAGGATGAACATATATTATTTTACTTCTCCTGTTTCATGGTTCAGGGCTGGACATCCACCTGCTGTGTTGGCCCAATCAGATTAATAAGAAAGGCTTGTTAAATCCTGCTAAATATAAATGACACATTATATGGCCCTATATCTAACAAATATCCTGAGATGAAAAGGATTCGGTCTTGTCAACAGCACAACAATGAGATACAACCACTACTGGGCCAATCAACCTTGATGCTAACCTTCTTCTAGACTGCCAGTTTTATAAATGGTAAAATTTCTAAGCCCGTGTGAAATTCTATGGTATTTGTAGCCTAATGTACAAAGACTTACTGTGTGCTAGTTACCATTCTAAGAGATTTAAAGAAGTTTTTCTTATTTAGTTCTTTGAGCTAGATATTATTGCTCTATTTTAAAGATGAAAATCTTAGGCAGGTATATAAACTGCACTCACACAGTGAGAATACTATGGCAACAACTTGAATTTAGGCCATCTACAGGGTTGCATTCATTAAAGTGATAAAATTAAACATTAGCTGTAGTCAAACGTCAGTACTCAAAGACACCAGAGGAAAGTGCAGTACATTTACATCCAAAGTTCTAGATAAGGACAGATTCAAGCTTTTATCATATAGAAAGGAATCTAAAGTTAATAAAACACTTACCCTTCTTTTTCTTCTTCTTCTTTTTCAAATCTCCCTGACTGAAAAGAGAAAAAAAATTATTACTATTACTGTATATAAAATATTTATAGAGCATTAAGTATACTGAAAAGAACAAAGTGGCTGGGATATTAATCTGGGTTAAAGTCAATAATCACATTTCAGATATTATACTTTTTGGAAGGTAGTTTAGAAAAGAGAAAAGACACTAGTTTTCAAAAAAGAAGTACCAATTACATTGAAAAAATAAGTGTAAATGATATCTGTTCTCTGAAAACAGCTGTAACTTCTTCTTCAAACCACCTTCTATGTAGTATCTGGAGTGCAGTACCTCAGTAGTATGTGGAGTGCGATGGGTAATTTGTACAAACATGAAAATCTACAGTACTCTGGTAAGTTACCCTACTGTGACCTGAGAACATGTAGAGGTGAAACATCGGTAAAAAGCATCTCTGAAAGGACATACAAAACCGATTATACCGCTTATGTCCTGGGAGGGAAAAGGCTGGAAGGGGAGGAGGAAGAGTTTCCTTACCTTCTTCCCCCTCACCATCCTCTGGGATGGGGATGGAACGGAGGGACCTTCCACATTTTAGGCAAGGACTCTACCATGGAGCTATACTCCCAGCTCCAACTTACAAGGTTTGAACCTTTTGATTTTTTTTTTTTTGTTCCAGGGATTGAACTTGGGTCCTTGTGCTTGCAAAGCAGGCCACCGAACCGATGAGCTAAATCCCTGGCCCGTGAATTTATTTTTTTGAAGTAAAACCTTTATTAAGTATATTGACCCCCACCCTAAAAAAAAGGTACTAAAATGGGCCTAAGAAAACATTTCAAAATAACTGGTAAGCACGTTGAAAGTTACAAACAAAAAGAGGGAGATAATCTCTGTACAGACTCCTTGGATATACTTCAGTGAGAAGTATAAAACAATAAGCTAAGAGGATGAGACAGCAACAGTTACTGCCAAAATTGCATTCCGTAAGTCATTAAGTTCAGAATGAACTTGTGGAAGTTCATTCAGGACATCCCGAAGAATAAAAAATGCCATGTAGTGTCTTATTCTGGTACCTTAGTACTTCATCTAGCACTTTGATTTTGAAATAGGATCCTATTTGCTCAGAATTTCCCAGAGGTTCTTAGTTCTGTGCCTTTGCCCAATTTGCCTACCTCATCCTCCTCTGAATCCACAAAATCACTGCCCAAATGTCTTCCTCTATTTCCTGATGTACTCTCTGTAACATGCACAGTCCTAACACACAACACCTTTATTGCAATTGTTCAAATGTATTTCCTCTTGCTTTGTATTTTGGTCAACATCTAGCACAAACCCATTACATAGTATAGCTTTATTTATTTAGGTTTTTTTGAGACAGGGTCTCACTATGTAGTTGAAACTGACCTGGAACTTACTATGTAGCCCAGGCTCGTCTTGAACTCACAGCGATCCTCCTGCCTCAGCCTCCTACAGGCGTGCGCACCACCACACCCAGCCATAGTATAGCTTTAACAGAAACTAAACCTTTGTATCCAAAAGTGAGCATAAAATAAAGACCATCTGGCAAAAATGTTGTGCAGAAAATTTAAAGCTTCAGAGTCATCCCCCTGTTTCTTTAAGAAAAAAATAGAGATTAAAGGATTAGTAAAGAACTGTGGCTAGGTGTGGTAGGGCACATCTGTAATCCCAGCATTCAGGAGGCTGAGGCAGGAGGATCGCAAAAAGAACTGCATTTTTATTAGTTACCTAACACTTGTTTTGGTAAAGAAAAAAGTTTGAAAATATTTAAACAAGTGATATTTGAAAACTCACTTAAAACCTAGCTTTATTTTGGGTTCCTGATAAGGCTTGAAGTTGGAATCATGTGATGAAATGGAATTTGCAAGAAATTACTATCTTTAAGATTCCAATTCTTTTTATTTTTATTTTTTAAGGGTAGGAAAACTTTATTGGGAGAAAGAAAGCTTCTGCCTAAGAGAGACAAAAGGGGGACTGGAAAGTGGGCTGCCCCAAGAGTCCAATTCTTTAAGTTTTTAAGACGTATTATGAGGATACTTTCATCAGAGTTCCTAGTGAAGAAGGTCAACCATACATACATAGTTGCTTTTTCTGTGTGTGTCATAGCGGAGATGGCATCCAAGGCCTCAGGCATGCCAGGCAAATGTTCTACTACTCAGTCATATCCCCAACCCTGACTATCTTAAGGAAAAAAATTCAGATTTCAAAAGTCATTCAAAGAAGGAGGAAACAGGGCCGGGGATTTAGCTCAGTGGTTCTGCGGCCTGCCTCTCAAATGCAACAGCCCAAGTTTGATCCCCAGTACCTAAAAAACAAAAACAAAAACTAACAACAACGACAACAAAAAAACCAGTGCAAGGTCCCAAGTTTGATCCCTGGTACCAAAAAAAAAAAGCAGAGGAAATAATGAAGGATTATGAAAGTCACAAAACTGGAAAAATGATCTCTTCCGTACTCTATTCTGAATCAAAAAAGAATCTTAAACATATTACTTTGGGGCTCTGCTGATTTTAAGATGGTAATGTGGGAGGACAAAAAAAAGAATCAGAATCTGACTTATTGTAAATGAATGAAGCTGGCTAACCTTTCTTCCAAATTGGCAAAATAAACCATCTCAACTTTGGTTTAGAAATACTAAATGATAAGCTGGGTGTAATGGCACACACCTATAATCCTAGCACTTGGGAGGCTGAGGCAGAAGGATTGCCACATTCTGGGATACACAGTGAGTTTAAGGCCACCCTGAACTGCATAGCAAAACCCTGTCTCAAAAAAAAAAAAGATGAAATATGCCTACATTTAGTTGATGGCAAGATCTCCAGGACTCATTAAATTCAATGCAAGCAAGTAAAATAGTAAGTATACAGCATCCATCCCTCTTCTGTGAGCAAGAAAAACAAAATAATCTAAGGAAAATATTTATAAATGATCTTGTGTGAGTAGACACCAGGAAAAAGATCTGGAAGATACACTATGCCAGTGGTGGCAAACCTATGGTATGTATGCTGCAGTGGGCTGTTTATGTCACTAAAGGCTCTAACAGGTTCACCAGCACTGCACTATGTTAATATCTATGGTGGGTTTTGGGCTGGAAGGATAAGGGGAAACAAGGAGTATGTGCTGGGCACAGCAAAAGAGAAGAAAAGAAACAAAGAAGAGTTAAGCATTATTCATTTGGAATTTTTTGACAAAGTATTTTTTATTCATTACATAATTTAAAATCAGCATCTGAACCATTTCAGAAATGTTTTTAACTAGAAAGACATTACCCTTGCTCCTTTGGTTGACTATCTCCGGTGACTTTTCCACCTTTCTTCCGAATGTACGTAGCACCAGGAGAATTTTCGAGGGCCTCAACATCTACTTTTAGAGACATACTATCTGATGAGGGCAAGTGTTTACTAAGACTGAGAGAGAACAGGAGTTCAGGAACATAATGCACACAGGTCAGTCAACAGATAGATGTAAGCCAACAGATGATGCTTGTCTTTTCCTTATGCCCTTCATCAAAAGCAAACCCTGTTCTTAAGTTTTCTACAGAATAACAAATTAGCAAATCATGTCAATTATGTAAGCGCACAATATGAAAACAGAATGTGAAGGGTCACAATCTTATCATTTATTGCTTAGCTCAGTGATATACTTAAGGGTAATCCTAAAGCAATCATAATAGGCTTGTTCACCTCCACCACCCCAACTTGGTTTTGGGAACATACCTTAATTAGAGTAGCACATATGACCCAAGCTTAATCAATGAGGACACTATTAGCTGTAATTGTTTGAGATGGGCAGGCAATCCAAAAATTTTAATCAGAGGAACAATTTCAGAATTTATGCACAACTACCCAAAATGTGCTGTTGTTTCATTTATTTTTTTGTGTATATGGAGCTGGACTTAAACATGAAGGAAAATAGACTGACTTCCTTTTTGCTTCTAAATCAGACCACCTCAAGGTACAGCTGTCATTGCATTTTTCAATCACACTGATTAGTAACTCTAATATCTGCTTTTACTAGTTAGGAGGTTTTATTGTTAATTGAAAGTTACAACAGAAAAATACCTGGCCAATACACAGGTACTAGAAGAGCTCTATGTTCTACTGGGAGCTGTCAGCGACAACAATCAAAAGGATACGCTTTTGCTTTCTCTGGATCCACAAGTGAGTAAGCAGAAATAAGCTGTGCCAGGGTGTGAATATCTTTTGGATTTTGTCTAGAAGAAATAAGAAAGTCACTGCATAGTTTATAAGACTAAGAGAGTAAAATCAACAAGGAGGATAACTCCCTCATATTAGATAACAGCAATAAAATGTGGATTTGTACATCTCCACCTTTCATAACTTACTTCCACAGTTGTTCTAGGTCACTAATTGCCTCCTTCTTCCGCCCATATTTGAGTTTGAAGTTTGCTGCTTCTCTTATCAAGGACAAGTGAGCAGGAGATTTGGGCTACAAATTCAATTTAAAAAAAAAATTAAGCTAAATATCCAGCAAATCCATGAAGTTTTATCTATTAGACCTTTACAATGTATCTATCCATCAAATATTCCTTAAGTTTTACTGAATGACTGAAACAAACCACTCACACATACAGGGATGTAGGTAGATAAATTAGTGCAAGTAATCACCCATTAGGAAATTGAACATATCCTATCCCTGTTTAGTTATGACCAGAAACATTCTCCAAAATTGAATCTTAAAGATAAGCCACCACAGTTTTCAAACTTTAACATAATACTTCCAAGGGCCCTGAGGCCCTCCACTAGGAGTGGTAAGAACACATTGGAAAGCTGGGGACTTCCTGTGCAGAATACCCATAATGGAAAAGTGAAGATGCTCCAATTAAATGAAAACATCGTAAGTATCCCAGGTAATACTATTCCAATAATTAGTGCCACCCAAGGATTCTCTATCCATTTAAGATGACCTTTCTGATCATCAATCGTGTTGTCATTCTTGCATCCTATGATATGTGCACACAAGTGGAAGGAGTTTCAAGAAACATGCTTCTCCATTCTGCAACCATTCTTTAGATGTAAAAGCTTTATTATGGACCTAGCATACTTAAAAAAATGAAGTTGACAGTCTAACAGTATCCCAATTTTAATGTGATGACTTGGAATATTTCAGTTCTCTGAAATTTTGAGTTTATTACTGCAGCGTTTTATTATTTAGGCAAAAGCACGTTCTCATAACATTTTACTCCCTTTACTTACCTGATGGTTTTGGTACCACTGGATAGCCTGTGTGAAGACCTCAATGGCACTATCAATATCTTCCTCATGGCTATACATGGTCACTAATGCAGATACCTGACCAAAGGTATAAATTAATGAATAAAATCCTCCCTTCATTCCCAGAATACATTTTATGAGTCAATAAAGATTTCTAAGCTTTTGCCAGTACCTAGTCATATAAAAATTACTTTAGATAGTGCAACTTTACTCCCAGCAATACCATGAACTAAAGTGTTTTCCAAATATGAAAGTAGTTTATCTAGTAAATATATCTTTTTTACTAGAGTACTGTTAGTTCACAAATGGTTGGTAAGTCGGAAGTTGAAAATAGGTGTTTAGATATGCTTATTCAATAAGATACTGCTGAACATTCAAGTGTGTGACCACTGAGGCTGAACTCCCAAGGTATCTGCATGGGACCTGAACTACATAATGCCAGGGGAAAGCCTGCCTAGTATCTATCAAGGACAGCAACATCAGTAAGACTGATAAATATTGGCCAGAATAATCAGGAGAGCTGGGAGGAGGCAAGACACAAATAACAGGTGTCAGGAATAAGGGAGGTTCTACAGATAAGAAGATAAGAGAATAAAGAGCCAAATAAAAGACAGATAGTTAGACCCTGGGTCTCCCCCCAGCCCCCCGCAGCAAAAAAAAAACAGCCTGTGGTGGCGCAGGCCTGTAATCCCAGCACTTGGGAGGCTGAGGCAGGAGGATCGCTATGAGTTGGAGACCAGCCTGGGTTACATAGTGAGTTCCAGGTCAGTCTCAACTAAGTAGTAAGACCCTGTCAAAAAAAAAAGATAGACAAAAGGAAAGTAGGGAGAACTTTTTCAAATGGATAGGGGAAAATAGATGGATGGGGGGATAGAAAAAAATGATGAAAATAGAGCTTCTGCAAATGTGAAGGGGACCAACAGCTGGATGGAGCAGAGAGAGAGGGGAAGAGGAAGGGTTGAAAACAAAAAAAAAAAAAGGGAAAAAAGAATTAAGATGTATTATGTACACCCATCAACTCCTTATGATAACTGTAACTGTTTCGTACTGCAAACATGTACTAATAAAAAAACAAAGTTAAAAAAAAGGGTATGTTATCTACAACTTCTATAGCAATGAATTGAAGCCAGATAGTATATTGGATTTGTTCCTAATTTAAAGTAACAACAGTACAAACCTTACAAAACGAATCAAGAGAAAGTACTGCCATAATATTATTACACATTTATTGAGTACTAACTGCAAACAAGCTGGGTTGGAGGATACAAACATGAATAAAATAGATGCACACATCCTGCCATCAGAGACTCAGTCTCCACTATGAAACATTCCCAGCTTTCTTAGCTGTACTAGTGATCTAAACTCATTATAACTGAATAATCAAAGAACTATATGCTAAATTTGCTGGCCACTATTACCAAACTGCTTTAACTCAAAGAAATCACCGTGACATGGCAAATATGTAGGTGAAGGAATTCCCTGTATAGGTGTGAGATTTTTTGAGGTTGGCTTCCATTGCTAATATACGGCCTGAAGAGTACCAGGCACATCTCATGGAGTAATAAACCAATTAAAAGCAAAGCACAGCCAGGCGTGGTGGTGCACACTTGTAATCCCAGCACTCAGGAGGCTGAGGCAGGAGGATTGCTGTGGGTTTGAGACCAGCGTGGGCTACATAGTTCCAGGTCAGTCTCAACTACATAGTGAGACGCTGTCTCAAAAAAAAAAAAAAAAAAAAAAAA